CCGAAAGAAAGAAAGAAAGAAAGAAAGAAAGAAAGAAAGAAAGAAAGAAAGAAAGAAAGAAAGAAAGAAATTGTTCAATGGTTAAGAGAACCAACTGCTAGACCAGAGGACCCTGGTTCAATTGACAGCACCTAAACAGTAGTGTGCAACCTCTGTTAACTCCAGCCTCAGAGGATCCAAGGGCCTCATCTGGTCTCTATGGACACTGCATGCACATGGTGCACAGACATACATGCAGGCAACACACGCATAGAAAATTGTTTGTAGTGGGGAGTGGGAGTCAAATCAAAAGAAAGAAAAGGGGGGAGGCTCTAGCCATATGTCATGGTACCACCCTCTCCTAGCCTCCTTGGGCACCAGGCACACATATGGTAGATATAAGAAAAACACTCACAGACATAAAATAAATAAGTATAAAACAAAACAAATCAAAATTTACAGGGGGTTGGAGAGATGGCTCAGCAGTTAAAAGGTTAAAAGCATTTGTTGCTTTTGCAGAGGACCTGGGTTCAGTTGCCAGCACCCACAGGGCACTTTACAACCATTCTTGACTCCAGTTTCAGGGGTCCAGTGCCCTCTTGTGTCTGTGGGTACCAGGCACACATGTAACGCACATTCATGCATGCAGACAAAACACTCATATTCATAAAAACAAAATAATTTATTTAAATAAATGTTTCTGACCTGCTAGTAAACATAAAGTTTATTTGTGGTATTAAGTTTTCATGTGAGAACTAGGGAAAAGACTATCCTTTTTTCAGTGGACAGGAGCACAAAAAAGATAAGCAGGCCCAAAAATTTATTATTGTGTATTTGCTTGCTCCCCAAATTACCTTGCAAACAGAACTACATGCAAAAGCAGTAAGACGAAATTTACACAGGTATAATAATTTCTGTCAGCCTATTGCCCCTTGAAGTGTACTCTCAAACTGTTCCTTAAAAAAAAATTATACATATTTATGAGCCTGGCATTGTGGTGGAAGGAAAAGCAGAAGAATTTTCTTAAAGTTCAAGGCCAGTTTGGTTTGCATAGTGAGTTCTAGGACAGCCAGGACTATGTAGAAACCCTGTCCCCCCAAAATGTATTTTTTCAGTGTGTGTAGGCATGTGTGTGCACATGAATATGGTACCCTCAGAGGCCAGGTGGATCCACTAGAACTGGAATTCTAGGTGGTTGTGAGTCACTTGACATGGGTGCTAGGACCAAACACAAGTCCTTTAGACGAGTGAGTACGGGCTCTTAACCACTGAGCCATTTCTCCCCTCAGTGACTTGACTTTTTTTTTTGGGGGGGGGGTGGCATTTTTCAAGACAGGGTTTCAACTATGTAACCCAGGCTGGCCTGAAACTCATTATGTAGAACATGCTGGTCTCAAACTCTGCCTGTCCCTGCCTCCACAGTGCTGGGATTAAAGGCCAAAATGTCCAGCATTTTTTTGTACTAAATTTTAAATTCATTTAATTTAGGTATATGTGTGTCTTGCCTGCATGCAAGTATGAGTATTGCATGTGTGCCGGGTGACCTTAGAGGTCAGAAATGGGTATTAGATCTCCTGAAACTCGAATTGCCAATGACTTGGGCTGGGAATTGTACCAACATCTTCTACAAGAGCAACCAGTTCTGATTTTGGAATCAGGCTGTCTGGATTTATACCTTGGAACTAATATTGCTTATCTGGATAACATCCAGCAAACTAAATCTCTTTAGGCCTCAGGTTCCTCATCTGTGACTTAACCATAACACCTTCCAACTCGAATAGCAGGATTACTAAATGAGGTCATGCAGAAGAACAATTAGCAAGAGAGTAGTAAGTGTTGACAACTTAGGCACATGGATGTTTGCTATAATGACTAATGGTGCTGGCCGGTGGTGCTGCATGCCTTGAGGCCGGCCTGAGCTACAGAGCAAGTTCCAGGGCAGGCTCCAAAGCTAGAGAAAAAAAAAAAAAAAAAAAAAAAGAGTAATGATGTGATGCCAGTCTATAGCTGTTACCTAGACAATTGGTAAATTTAAGAACCTCCCCCAGAACTCTTATATCTAAGACCATCCATGTGTAAATGAGGGTTGTCGATGTCCGATGTCCCTGCCTCTTGGTATTGTGGACAGACCATATAGGGTGCTTAAAACGGTAAGCCCATTTGGGTGGAGAGGTGTCACACTCAGTAGTAGAGCATTGTCTATACATGCACATAGCTTCAGATTTAATCTACAGCACTGTTAAGAACAAAAACATGCAACATGCTCCATAAACGACACCTAGTGTTGGGCCTACTTCAATTCGGGACAAGATAAATGTCCCCAGAATGCCGCGGGGCATCGAGGACTGACTCCGTTTCCCTAAAAGGCTCCATGCAGGAGGTCTCCAACCGAGCTCAGCCAGGGGCCCAGTACCTGAGTCGCCCCCTGCGCTGACAACCTGGACATCAGGCCCCGTCTGCACTCCGGGCGGCTGGCGGGGAACCGCGCCGCCGCCGGTGGAGTGTTCTTTAGGTTCGGGATCCATAGAGATGGATCTACAGGCGGCTTTAGCGTGAGTGAGGGCAAGGAATCACGTAAAGGCATGGGGACTGGAGACCGTAACGCAGTCAAACCGCAGCGGTCACGAAGCCAACCTCCAGCGATGACGTTTCATCCGCAGTGGGTTGGAACCACCTCGCCGCAGCGCCGAGGGCGTGACGCCGCACTCCCCTACGGCGCCTGCGCCACTTTCGCGCCACAAATTCGAGGTAGAGGGCTCTTTACGCGCCTTTGGTGGACCTCTCTACCCACAATTCCCCCTGGCTCGCAATCGTTTCCGTGGGCGCACGCGTCCTTGCTGGTCCCGCCTCCAAATCCCGTGGTCCTCTGCGAAATGATATTTAAGTGTCGTCCGTTGTCCTTTTCGGCCTCATTTACCTCATGTGCCAGGTAAGTGCTGCTTTCTGTAGTGGGTTTTTTCTTTAATTTAAAAAAAAAAAAAAATACACGTCGTGTCCGCGGCTGGCTACGATCTCGCAGAGATCTGCCTGCCTTTGTTTTGATTAAAGGCGTGAACCACCACGCGTGGCTTTTCCTTAAGAAGCAAGTATTTCTGACGGTTTTTGTTGCTTTAAGAGCCCGCGTGAACATAGCGCTTCCCAGATGTGACTCTTTAACGTCGGTAACTGGAGCAGGGAGGTTAGTTACGTTTAGGGGTCTTCAGGACCTCGAAGCAGGAGGACTTTGTGAAGGACAAAATGGTGGCGGCGGTGCAGGGCCATCCCCGATGATGATTTCCTTTTCACAGACCTGTACTGATTTCCATGAGGATAAGTAATTCTGAGGAGGCTGGCCCAGTACCTAAAGTCTTTTGCCCCCGCCCAGATTGCTCTTAAACGGAGGTGTAGAAATAACCAAATGCCAATTCGTTCCAGATTTGGGATGATTGCATACGGAAACATGGAAGTACGCGTCCTTTTTTTAAGAGTAAGTACTTAATGGCTTAACTCGTTTTTGGTGTTTGTTTAGTTTTTGGTGACTGTTGGTGGTAAATGTGTTACCGGGATGATATAAAAGCTGAACTCTCTCTTTCTGATGGCGCAGTGGAGAAAAAAGAAAAATCTGAGTAGCACAAGTCTGCAGCAGATAGCTGGGTTTGGTTCAGCGGGAAGTCTGTTACTGAAGTGTTTTCCTTTCCATTTTCTCTTGCTTAGATATGGTTGATGAACGCGGAGTTTACACTTTGGGAGCAGGCTAGATTGACCTTACAACTGAGACGTTTTGCTGGCAGTTGAGGTGGGTGTTGATGGCACGTGGAGAAGAGAGAGCACGTCTAGATGACCACTTAATGATGAGTGTAAATGACAAGCATATGCCTGAATTGTAGTGATGTCATCTCTCTGCTGAAAAGTGGGCTGAAAAGGATGGAGGGGGTACTGGGTGGCTATAAATAACGAAATTAAGGAATTTGGTTTTCCTCTGTACAGCATCCTGTAGCAATATTCTGAGGAATGCAGATGACCTCCCAGGATGAATGCAGGTAATTGCCCAAATGAGGCTGCGACTCTCCCATAGCTGGAGAGTCTACAATAATGGCCCTCTTAGCTGCTCCTGTGTTCTGCTTTTTAAAGGACACCGTCTTAATAAGCTCATTCATTAAAAGCCAAGACACTGTCAGATGATTTGAATCAATGCGCTGATGCTCTGTGAAGGTTGAATAAATAGCATGTTAGAGTTCTGATGGCAGTTGGTGGTGATGAGGGAGGCCTGGTCCATCCTGATGGTTGAAAATAACGGCTTGCTACTCTTTTCCAGGTTGTCCTGATGGCTTGTCTAAAGGTGAGTTCATATTCATGGAGCGGAACATGTTTAGACTGGGTTTGTCGCCCTCCTTTAGTCATAGTATCCTGGTGTTTCTCTGTTCAGTTTGGCTCCTTATTTCTCCTAGATACTAGTATCTCAGAATCAAGCAGGGCTGAATATTTTGCTAGTGTGGTAACTGACAGAATTGGTTTCATAAGAGCCAAAGAACAATGAGCATGATTTATATAGTGTGTTCCTGGCTGGCTGTCAGTAGTAAGATAACTAGGTATCGTGGTACTTTGCACTGAGGATGCAAGAGGGTCTCTTGAGTTCTGGGGCTACACAGAAACTGTCTCGGGGAAAAATAGACTAAAGATGGGTATTAGCTTTCTGGAGTTTTAGCTAATTAACTTTCTTTATTTAGGAGAAGATAATTCCTGTATGCCACCAATCACCAGCATTCAGAGGTTAGCAGATTTATTTTTTTGTTTGGATGGGGTTCATGTAGGCAGTTTCTGTGATGAGTCAACTAGCTCACTATGACTACCAATGAAAACATATGAACACCTGAGAAACTGAGAAGTAGGGTGTGGGTATGGCTGTAAATCAAGCCTTTCATCTAACAGTTTGCTCTTTTTCGCAGGTTCTGTTAGCAGTAGCATCCTTGCTGGTTCAGAGGTAAGTACAGTGTGTTCATACATGTGACATTGGGTTTCAAGTTCCTAAAGGCACTTGAGTTTCATATGATGACTTTCATGGAATCTCGTTCGGCTGATGGTTGCTGTTGAGACTTGGAAATCTGAATTTATCACAGAAGAATGGATTACATCAAGACATTTTATTGCAGGGTTTTAAACATTTGACTATCTTGTTTCAGATCAGGTGTCTGCCCTAGAGCTGAGGAACCAACTTTGCCAGGTAAATGCTTTTGTGATGCTATTTGCTGTATAAACTGGGTATCAGTGTATAATGCTTTGATCCAGTGAATTCCTGCTCACCAGTGATGAGTTGAATACCGCCCCAGTCTGATAACTGTGGAGAAAGGTATTTTCTGAGTTGTGAGATCACCCTGGATCAATTGTGAGAACTATTTTTGAGTTTAGTCCATGAATTCTATAAAATAAGCTTTCATTAGAAGCAGTAAGAATAATGGCCTTATTCTCTGTCTTGCAGGAAAGTTGAGCACATCTTCACTCTGCTGGAATAAGGTAAGAAAGCATGGGCATGTAAGGTGTACTGTGAACTAGTCTCCCCATGAAGAAACTTCCACATGTCTTACTTCCTGTCCTAGCGCCAGAGCCTGAAAAGGTGAACCCACTGGGGCTGGCTGGGGGAAAAGAGGAAGATTTGTTCCAGAAGGAACTGTCTGAGGGATTGAGTTTTTATAGAGAGGAAAGAATTGTCAGGTGATAAGAGATAAAAGGTGGCTTGTCTTTTCCCAGGTCTGAAGAAAGGAGGAGCTTGTGAACGGTAAGTAGACAATTGGTATTGAGTATGGGCAGGGTGGAGTTTTGGTTAGGCAAGGGGTATCTGGAGGGCAGAAGATTGTCCATGTGGGTGCATTTGGCATGCTACATTAACTTGATTAAAATTTTCACAGGAATGCAGATCTCCAAGAACAAAGATCTCTATTTCCTTGATAATTTGGAGTTGTATGTCATCATTCTCTTAATAAAATTGTTTCTTTGCCATTTGTTGTTTGGTTCATCTGTTTGGGTAGATTCTAGGAATTACGGTCCAAAGGCATGTGGCTTTTTTGAAACTTCATGCTTTTGTCCTGTAAATTTCTTTATTGCATTGGCTGTCCTACAACTGCCCCCCCCCACCATGGGTAATAGAATGTACCACCACCTGACCTGGTCAAAAAGTCTACCTGGGTCAATAGTACACGCCTTTAGTCCCAGGCAAGGGCAGGTCAGCCTAGTCTGTAACACCTAGCTCCAGGACAGGCTCCAAAGCTGTATAGATAAACCAAAAGAAAGATGCAGTTGCAGGATATGGCAGTTACCATTTATATGAAGGTCTTTGGTGTTTAACACTGGACTTTTGATGGCCATGTTTGCCTAAAGTGATACAATGAAACCCCATCTCTACTAGCATTTGAGGGCTTGGTGCGTTTGGTCTACAGTTTCCTTCGTTGGTGTTTTTCCTGTTTGGATCACAGTGCTGAGGATAAAGCCTGAGCACTGCCTGGGTAGTACCGACTGAGCTACTTTTACCCATTTCCCTTGAAGGTTGCATGGTTTCTAAGAATCACAAAACTTGAAGCATTGCTAGTTAAATGTGCCGGGAGGTTTTCTGGGGACTGGATTTGTTTTCCGCTGTACCCTAAGATTGTGAGTTGCTATCAACCTTGCCACACCAGTTTCCTATGCTGTTAGAGTCCCCAGGTTAAGACTGTCCTTAACTGAAAACTTGTCTGCCAATACCGGTTGCTTGAGGGGGATGTTGAGCCTCTGGATCATTTTAAATTCCAGCTGCTAAACAGGATGGCCATACCCTATCATGTAGCTTGCAGCACTAGCACAGTCACAGGTGAATCTGCTAATCCCCCCAATCAAGAATAAAGGCAAATTTGAAGTAAAATGGGTGGATAGGGCCTAAGTCCATACATATACAGGTTACAATAGCTTCCAGCATCTCACGAACCATATGTCCTTAGTCAAGGGACTTGTAGATCAGAGGCATTTTGTCTCATGCATACTAATCCAAACTTAGAATGTAATTTTTGGTGTCACAAGTCCTGTGCTAACTCGTCCTAAAAGACCAAGTAGTAACAGGGCTGTAAACAGACTGTCAAACTACTCTGTCTTGCTGTTTCACTAATCCTGCCAAAATGTGATTTGCCATCACACCAGGAAAGGGACAGACCTTGGCAAAAAATTATTAGGCAAGGCTGTGGACTATGAGGAGCCATTGTGACTCTAAAAGAGTTGTGTCGAGGGTGGGGTGGGGTGGGGAGGCTGGAGAGATGGCTCAGCAGTTAAGAGCACATACTGCTCTTCCAGAGGCCCTGAGTTCAATTTCCATGGCAGCTCACAACTGTAATTCTATAATCTGTAAATCTGACACCACCACACAAATACATGCAGGCAAAACAATATGCATCAAATAAAAATTAAAAAGTAGTTGGGGACAAGGCCAGAATGGCTGATTTCTAGCAGCAAGGAGTTGGATGTGAGATTACTGGTGAGATCTGATGTCATATGCAATCCCAGTCAGTATCATAGGCTACACAGCAAATTCAAAACAATGGGAGACAGATAATGCACACCAAAGAAACTGCGGTTGTATTTCAACTCTGTCATCTGGCTGTCAGAATTCATACCCATGTTGCTCTTCCCACTCAAGCACCAGGGCATTCTGCCACATGTGCACTAATGGTTCCCGGATTCTGTTCTTTCTTTTTTTTCGAAACAGGGTTTCTCTGTGTATTTTTGGTGCCTGTCCTATGACTAGCTCTTGTAGAACAGGCTGGCCTCAAACTCACAGAGATTCACCTGTCTGCCTCTTGAGTGCTGGGATTAAAGGCGTGCATCACCACTGCCCGGCTCAGGGTTTCTTAGTTTAAAGCTTTGCAGCATATATTTGGGAGAGCCTCTCTCTCACACACACTTTTATTTTTAATGATTTATCTTTTTTTTTTTTTTTTTTTTTTTTTTTTTTTTTTTTTTTTTTTTTTTTTTTTTTTTTTTTTTTTTTTTTTTTTTTTTTTTTTTTTTTTTTTTTTTTTTGACAGGGTTTCTCTGTGGCTTTGGAGCCTGTCCTGGAACTAGCTCTGTAGACCAGGCTGGCCTCGAACTCACAGAGATCCACCTGCCTCTGCCTCCCAAGTGCTGGGAAAAAGGCAGTCTTTTTTTTTTTTTTTTAAGATTATTTATTTATACAGTGTTCTTTCTGTATGTATGCCTGCAGGCCAGAAGAGGACACCAAATCTCATTACAGATGGTTGTGAGCCACCATGTGGTTGCTGGGAATTGAACTCAGGCCCTCTGGAAGAGCAACCAGTGCTCTTAACCTCTGAGCCATCGGTCCAAGCAAATGCACAGATCTTTGTCTATTTTGAGATGGGGTTTCAGTTTCAGTCCTCCCTCTGTAGCCCAGACTGGCTCAGTCTTTTGAGTATTGGAATTAAAGGTGTGTTCGACCACACTTGACTTAGATGTCTCATATTAACCTTGCAAATTTGTTTTCCAAAGTAGAGCCTTTTTTATTTTTTCTATTATGGAGTCTCAATGTGAACAAATAAAACGATGTGGTCTCTACTTTTCAAGACTGACCTAAATGGATTGAGTTTCACTTTCCATCTTTAGTTTTCATTTATAGCCAAGAATGAAGTCACACGGTGGGCAGTGGTGGCACTTGCCTTTAATCCCAGCACTCAGGAAGCAGCAACAGACCTGTGAGTTCAAAGGCCAGCCTGGTCTGCAAAGTGGGTTCACTAAAGCCTGGGCAGATCTTGGTGAGTTCGAGGCCAACCTGATCTACAGAACGAGTTCCAGGAAGGACAGGCTCCAAAGCTACAGAGAAACCTTGAAATATTTAGTTTTTGTTTATGGTCAAGAATGAAGTCACGCGCCAAGGTGGTGTTGGCACACGCCTTTAATCCTAGCACTTGGGACACAGAGGCAGGCAAATATCTGAATTTGAGACCAGCTTGGCCTACAGGGTGAGTTCTAGGACAGCCAGGGCTACACAGAGAAACCCTGTCTCGAAAAACAAAAGAAAAGCAGAAAGAAAAAAGAAGGAAGAGACGGAGGGAGGGAGAAAAGAAGAAAAGAATGAATCACTTCTGAAATTCCTTTAATAGTGTGGAACATAAGCCAACACAGGATAGAGAGACCTATGAGAGCAGGCTCCACCCACCCAGCATTGCAGTTCAGAAAGGATGCTTTTCACTGACAGTGCGAAATGATCCTTACTTTTCAGTTCTCCATAAACAACATTATCCTGTTTGTAGTTTTCCGTTTGTTTGGTTTTTTGTTTTTTCCGTAAAGCTAAAACAAAGGTGGGGTTGGCAGAGTTTTACGGTCCCTACTTTTCCTGCATCCAGAATGGCGCTGTCCGAACTGAGCCTGTTTGAAATCAGTCTGTAATTCCCAGCTACTGTGAGGCTGACTCAGGACTATAAAATCAAGGCCCGCCTAGATTACAAAGTGGGTTCATGGCTTACCTGGGTTTGAAAAAAAATAAAAAGACGGACCTGAGCTATAATCCACAGAGGTTGGGTTAAAAGTTCTCCGCACTTTGTTTCTTGCGGTTTGTTTTTGTTCGTTTGCTTGCTTGTTTGTTTTTTGAGACAAGGTCTCACTGTGTAGCCCTAGCTGGCCAGTAACCCACAGAGCTCTAAAGCCACAGAGAAACCCTGTCTCGAAAAGATATAAGGGTGGGGCATAGGACGGGGGAGGGGGGGGAGGAGGGGGAGGGGGGGAGACTGGTTCCAAGTCGTCAAGATTTGAATCCGGCGCCCCCTGATGATGCAGGTGGTGGCGCGCCGGAAGTCGAGTCACCGGCTGCTCAGCGATGGCGGCCACCTCTGCGCTAGGAAACCATGTGTGGGTTGGCACCGAGACGGGGATCCTGAAAGGTGAGTGTTTGTGTTGTTCGTCCGAACGTGTAGAAGTCGCTTGTCACCCCAGCGTGACTGACGTCCTCGTCCCTCAGGGGTGAACCTTCAGCGGAAACATGCGTCAAACTTCACGCCGTCCGGACAGCCGAGGCGTGAGGAGGCGGTGAATGCTCTGTGCTGGGGCGTAGGTGGCGAGACCCAGGTGAGTGAGCACTCGCCCGGCCTGAGCTAGGAGACGG